CTGATAGTGATGAAAAGTTGCACTACTATTTTTTTTGACAATAAAAACAAAGTAAGAAAAATTTCAGACAACTTGAAGAATACCGCGTTCCTAATTTTGCTCACTTGGTGTGGAATTATTCTATATTTGTTATTTTTCATACAAAGGCTATAGCGGGATAAGATGGTCAAAAGTGCCCCCGCACCGATCAGCACCGCGATTGTTATTTCAATAAAGCATATAAAAACATGACTTCATACAAATTTTTAGCTTCCCAGAGTGCATAGAACCCCTTAAATATAAAAGAGAAGCTTTTAAAAATCTGAAAAAATGCATGACGATATATCTTTCGAATACAAAATAGCCTGATTTTTTTCAAATTTTTATATTAAAAATCAAGGTCAGGAGAAATCATTGAAATTTTCAGTAATTTTTTAGATTATGTTAATAATTTTTGGCTAACTTTTCAATAGTAATTTTTTATGTATTTTTTTCGTTGTTTTAAATGGTCAAGGCAGAAATTTCAATTTCTGAGCGGAAAGCATCAAAAAATCAAACAAACTGTTTTTTTTTCACTCATTTATTTGCACCCTCAAAACTCAATTCGTAATTAAACATTTTTCTTCCACATTATCAAAATCTATTGTAAAAGTCCCCATTTAACTCTTTCATAACAATAAAATTCGAAAATACCACGTTTTTTATCCTTTTCGCACTTTGTTTTACCTTAGCTCAAAATCAGATAGTTAAATGTATGCTTTTCCATCTATTTTCTTACGGGCTATGAATCATTATTGTTAAAGTAATTATTTTCATATTACAAATTGTCAAATTACGAACAAATCGTGTTTTTCTAATATTTTCCCACTTTATTGGCTCATAACCTTAAAATCTAGTAGCTAAATGATCGAATTTCCGCGTATTTTTGATAGCACCCTTCAATGTTGTTATATCACTTGTCCTTTTTTTCTTAAACAGTCAAAACTCGAAAAAAAACCATAGCTTTATTATTGACCCTTTTGTCAATCCTAATATGCCTAATAATTGTTTTATTGCTTTTAAACGCATATCACTTTTTGTGCGCAAACCTTAGCTGATAATGCATATTGCCTACATATAGTCTGGTGCCAAAGTTTATCAAAATAAATAAATTACTAGATAATGATAAAGCATGCCTATGGGATATATCTTCCCATTATCCTAAAATCTGTTGCGAGTTAATATCAAAGATCTCGAGTCATATTGAAATTCTCTAAGTAGTTGGTCAAATCCAAGTTTATAGTTGAGTATTATAATTGCCATATATCCTATAGGCACGCGTATCGTACTCTATAAGGCTCTATAAGGCTACGAAGGCTAAGAAAAGCAGTGGCGACACCAACAATGTCTGCTACGCGCATGATCCGTAACCATGACAACGACAATGGGAGTATGCGCGTTGCATATATTGTTGTTGTCGCCACTGCTTTCGCTTTGGTCTTGCCTACGTATCACTTTGACTGTCTTAGCTTTATATAATCCTCTTCTTCTAAAATCCGTTGCAATATTATCGAGGATCTTGGAAACTATCAATTACATGGAAAAGTATCGAAAGATTCGAGTAGGGGAGCCAGCCTAACAGTGAGACAGGTCCTACAGTGAGACACTGTTTCTCCCCCACTTATCATGCGACCGATTAGGTTTTCCATTGGTGAACAGAAAGCTTACATAACCATAACAACAAGTAAACGCCGACAGTGTTGAACACGCGGCTAGCAGGGATGCACGCGCCATTTAAATTAATTTAATTTCCACATGCGCAAGTCACTTCGTGTTTTCGGAAGTAAAAAAAAGTATTTTGGTGATCTGTCTAGGTTAAAGGTAAGTTTTTTTTATGTAGATTACAAGAGTGGGATTATTTTGTCTCTATACATTTTATTGTATAAGTGAGGTTAAAAAATGGCTGCCGATTACACGTGCCCAACAGTGAGACAGTGTCTCACTATTGATCAAATGTGACCAAATATTTTTTTGCAGGCTAATTATGGATCAAAAAAAAAGAAAAATTGGAAATTGCGCAGAGGAAACAATGAGAGAAGCAGTAAGTCTGGTCAGAGAAGGAGGATCTTTGAGAAAAGTAGCTGCTTTGAAAGATATACCATTTCAGACATTGGCTAGATATGTTGAGAAAGCCAGAGACGTTGACGACATTAGTCAAATACGAATGAGTCCCAACAACACTATTAATAAAGTATTTACGTTCGAAGAAGAAGATTCACTAGAAAACTATATCATAAGCTGCTCACATGTTTTATGGGTTGTCTGTTGACGATTGTTGACGATTGTCTATGAAATGGCAATCGAAAATAAAAAGAAAATTGCTGTCAAATGGCATAAAAGAAAAATGGCAGGGCTGAAATAGATGAGAGGTTTTCGACAAAGACATGTTCGGCTGTCGCTTCGCACCCCCGAGGGATGTAGTTTATTCCGTGCGACGTCATTTAATAGACATAATATTTAAATTTTTTACCAAAATTTGAAGAATATATATTCAAGAATTGATGCGTTTGCTGACGGAAGCAGAATCTACAATTTGGATGAGACTGCGACTACGACGGTTCAAAAATCAGCAAAGGTTGTTGCTGAGAAAGGGGTGAAGCAAGGTAACAAGTGGGGAGAGAGGTACATTGGTTACCACTCGTTGTATCGCTAGTGCCACGGTACAATACCTACCACCAGCAATGGTTTTTCCTAGGGTACATCTAAAGGAGCATATGCTACAAGACTCCCCATCAGGAACGTTGGGGCTTGCTACTCCAAGTGATTGGATGAATGCTAATCTTTTTTTAAAAGTAATGAAGCATTTTATAAAATATTTTAACAGCTCTAAAGAAAATCCATCGCTTTTTATCTATGACAATCATGAAAGTCATCTTATAATCGTATTCTTTATTTTTCCAAAGACAACGGAGTAACAATTCTAACATTTCCTCCTCATTCCACAAATAAGATGCAATCACTAAATGTGGGGGTATTCAAAGCATTCTCAACATGTTATAATGCATCATGATGCAACATCCAGGTAAGCCTTTTACCATATATGAGGTAGCTGAGTGTGTCGGCTTTGCTCATGAAAAAGATCTCACACCGAGCAATATTATAAATGCATTCAAAAAGTGTGGTATATATCCATACGATGCCAATGTCTTCACAGATATAGACTTTCTACCAAGCGCTGTTACCGTTCGCGATTTAAAAGATGATGTAAACCAAAAAAAGTCCATAGATCTACCAAGTACATCAACATCAACAAATAAAATATCCGTGAGTGATAATATTCAAAAAAATATATCGTACATAGAAAATGATGCTACCTTAGACACCAGTATTGAAAATAGCAATCAACGGAACGATAAAAATGGCAAGACTGTCACAGATGTTTTAAAAAACCCAGAAGAATTTAAGCCCTTTCCAAAAGCTGGAGAATCTCAAAACTAAAAATACGCGAAGAACTGGCAAAAGTATTATAGTTACTGACACACCCGAAAAAGATGTCATAGAAGATAAGATAAATTGATAAAATCGAAGTGAAAAAAGTAGAAAAGCAGTCATTTATTATTTTAGTAATTCAAGATATAAATCATGAATCATAAGACCACCAAAAATACTATCAGAGATTTTTACATCTGATGTTGAATCAGTCATAGATGAGAATAGTGATAAGGACTAAAACGTAAAAAAAACCGTGTTTAAACTGTTAATTTAAATAACCTATTGTATAACAATTTCATAATATTACATATTTTTGTAACCAAATATTTTATACATGTCCTCGTTTATATCCAAATAAATTTATAAAACAATTTTTACAATGTTAAAAAAATATTTAAAAAATAATAATAATGTTCTTGTTCTATCGAGGTGATTCTAGAAATATATCACTTTATGCAATTAACGAGTCAAAAATAGAAGTAATACTTAGAAACAGTTTTTTCAAGTTTTGACTACTTAAGGAAAAAAAAAGATAAGCGGTATAACAAAATCGAAGGGTGCGATCAAAAATACGCGGAAATTCGATCTTTTAACCACAGGAGATTTTAAGATTATGAGCCAATAAAGTGAGAAAATATTAGAAATACACGATTTTTTCGCAATTTGAGAATTTGTAAGTTAAAATGATTATTTTAACAATAATTATTCATATGAATGAATTCAATACGAGCCCATACGAAAATAGATGTTAAAGCATACATCTAACTACCTGATTTTGAGGTAAGGTAAAAAAGTGCGAAAAAGATAAAAACGAGGTATTTTCGAATTTTATCTTTCTGAAAGAGTTAAATGGGGGTTAAATAAAAAGAAAAAATGTTGAATTACCAATTGAGTTTTGAGGTTATGTGCAAATACATGATTAAAACAACAGTTTTTTTTATTTTTCGATCCTTTCCGCTCAGAAATTGAACATTCTGCCTTGACCATTTAAAAGAACAAAAAAAAATACATAAAAATTACTATTTAAAAGTTAGCCAAAAATTATTAACATAACCTAAAAAATTATTGGAAATTTCAATAATTTTTTCTGAGGTCAATTTTCAATATAAAAATTTGAAAAATATTAGGCTATTTTGTACACAAAAGATATATCTTCATGAATTTTTTTAGATTTTTTAAAGCAAAATTGCGTCCAGAAAAAAATAAAGTCGAAAAATCCTTTTTTTAGATTTAAGAGGTTCTATGGGCTCTGGGAAGCTAAAATTTTGTATGAAGTAATGTTTTTATATGCTTTATTGAAAACATAAGTCTCGGTGCGGGGGCACTTTTGACCATCTTAGCCCGCTATAGCCTTTAAAAATAATACGTTAACTATGGAAATAATAGTCAACTAGTACAGCGAAAATGTGTTATTGATTACATAGGACAAAATTAATGAGCAAAATGTACATTCTGCATTTGTACTTGATTTAATCAGCTAGTCTGAAGCCTACTAAAAAACTAAAATTTTCTACCAAAAATGCCACTTGATTTTGAATCAACAATTGTACCTCTAATTAAAACCGGGTCCAACAAATTATCAATTTTTCGCTTAAAGTCCCTTTGGATTATCAAGAGACTCTCGTTACATCGTTCGTATCTAAGGGAGGTTTGTCAGGAATGGGACTAGAAGAGTTTTCTGAGTTTTCTAAAAGTCTGATAAGTTTCTTGTGAATGTTTTTAGAGGATAACACCTTGGGGCACTTTATTATAGAGCTCAATCCACCTCCTGGTTTGTTGCTTGATAATTCTTGCAGAACTTTGAAGGCTTTTGAAGGAAATATGTCAAAGTTTTCTTCACTTCTATCCCACGTTTCGTAGTATTGCTTATAATCGTCATAATTGGTTCCAAATTCTTGAGGTGTTTGGACACTTGTGGAATAGCCAGAAAGAGTATCTGTAACCTCCATATCTTCTTGTAATATTTTTACGGCAGCTGCATATAACTTTTCTTTGGGTAAGTTCTTAAACGCTTGTCCTTTTTTAAGTTTAAGTAAACTATCCACCAACTCGTTAACTAGTCGTTCATTTACTGGAGTTTTAGCGTCGTTTAAATTCAGGTCTAAAGGTTGCTTGGTCTCTTCAGCATCTTCAGCGTCCTCGTTATTGCATTCTTCTTGTAATAGTTTAAACAATCTTGAGTGTGTAGCTGCTCTTTGGTATTTCGTAAGTTTTCTCAACTCAGGAAACTCTTCTGTATCTGATATATGCCTACTCATGTCTGATGTAACTCCTGAATCTACTTCTTCTTCTTCACTGAACTCTTCAAAAGACTTAAGGCTACTTTTTGAAGAAGCTGTTTTGCTTCTGTTGGTTGAATCGTTTATAGAAATCTTATCCTTACTTGACTCTTTAGTGTCATCCGATAATAGTCTTCTTTTGGAGTTAATACTTTCTCTTAAAGCTTGGATTCGGTCTTTTATAGTAGGTATTTTTACATCAGCGTCGTCATCGAATCTTGCTAGATTATTGTTGGTTTCTTTATCGTCTTTCTCTGATGCAGAAGAATCAGATGTGTCACCAGATTCTTCGGTTTGTGATTCATTAGTGGAAGATTTATTATCATCGTTTATATCTTCAGTAACTATTTGGGTTTCAACAACAGGTGTTGAGCTCAAACTAGAATTATACTTAATATAATTAGTAGAACCCTCAACCGTTTCTTGTGTTTTAATATTTATTTTTAAATCTTCCAATGAACCGCAAGATAGCCTCTTTATTTTGTTTTCCAAATCATCCAGAGATTCTCTATTAAAGTTTTCAAATGATGTCCAAGTAAACCTTTTTTCTGCGTCCAAATTTTTTTCCTCTACAGATCTAGTTCTTCTAAACTTAACAGGTTCGTTAGCTTTTTCGTTATTTAGCCTTGAATTTAAGTTCCAAAAACCAGTCTCTTTCTGAATTTGTTCCAAAATACCTACAAAATTATCAACTTTTATAAGACTTCCAGTTGATTCTGCCTGGATATCTTCTAACGATTCGTATATGCTTCTAGGTCTAGATTTTGGTTCTGATTGGAGATCTTCTAAAGATTGGTATATACTTTGAGGTCTAGACGAACTTTCTTTAACTTCTGTTTCTGTATGTACAACATTGTTTTTCTTTTTAATTCGTCGTACTACTGTATATTCTGTGTAGTTACTTTCTTCATTACAATTTTGAGTTACGTTTGTATTCGTATTAGTAACCTCTGAACTATTTTTATTACTTTCTTCAATATAATTTTGAATTGTGTTTTTATTTATATTGGTAATATCTGTGCTATTCTTACTTATTGTATTCTCTTCATGTATTTCTAAATTATCTATTCTATCATGTTCTACATCACTAACTTTAATACTAACTATATCTTCAGTGTCTGAATTATCACTTTCTAGTATATCTTCACTGGCAGCATGGGCATTGAAAATATTGTTTTTCTCTACGTTTACATTGTCAAAAAGTTGTGTTTTTTTTGGTGGTGGTAAATCATCGTCTTCTTTTCCTATTATTCCCCACCAATCTTCACTGTCATTACTTTTTATGTCATCATCGTCCTGTTCACAATCGTCTACATTAATGTCATTAACTTGGTAAGCTTCTACTTGTATTTCTTCATTATCTTTATTATAGTCGTTTAAAGTACTTTCTTGTTTACTATCATCCGATTCTGGTTTACTGCAGTATACAATATTTTCTTCTTCATTATCTTTATCATAGTCATCTGAAGTACTTTCGCGTTTACTCTCATCCGATTCTGGTTTACTGTAGTCTACAATGTCTTCTTCTGGATCACTTCTTTCTGCTAGAGTAGTAGTATCACTCATAGCACTCAAACTTCTTATTCTAGATTCTGTCCTTTCACTCTCTTCCATAATAACACTAAGTTGATGCGGATAGGCATCGTCTTCATAACATATAGAACTGGCATCATCAATTTCGTCATTGGACTCACCCGAGTAATCATCTTCTTGCGTTTCTTCTTTAGAAATATCTTCGTCGCTACTGTCCGTGTTAAGAGAAATAATGTTTGTTATAGATTTCATAGACTGAAGGGGATTTTTCTGTAAATGAGCACTATATTCATCATCTGTTTCTGTATCAGTTTCACAGTCTGTAGTACTTTCGATTTTTTCTTCCATTGGTTTAGTTACAACTTCAGTTACTACTAAAGTTGGTGTTAGCATTGCCTTTGGGCCAGAATCATTTGTAACTTTCTTTTGATTTTCTGTAACCTTTTTGCATTTAGTTCCCTTTTCATCTAATGAAGAATAACCGTTAATGGTACTGTCAGTGTCGCTGTTGGCATATCGTGGTGGATAAGGAGGGTACATTGGTGGATATCCATAGTAGTAATGATAATAGTAAGGATCATAGTATGGTAAATATTCCTGTGATATGCTACTTTCATCTACATCAGTACTGTCTTGTTCTGAAGGGTAATATGGATCGCACCCATACCAAGGAGGTGGTATTGGCTTTTGTGGTGGCATCTCTTTGCCGCTATCAGTCGAGTTGGGTGAAGGACAATAAGGGGGCATATACCCCCAATAAGGGAGAGGAGTATGGCGACCAGATTTTGCTGGGGAGGTACTTCTAGAAACACTACTTCTAGGGGTAGATTTTTTGTTAGGGGTTTCTTCGGGATAGGATTCAGGGTAATAGTAACGGTAATAATCGTACCAGTAGGGAGGGTAAGGATAAGGGGGATAATGGGGAGGGTATACCCATTCATCGTATGGGGTTTCTTCGTTTTGCTCTTCTACATTGGCTATAAAAAAATTTAAATTTTAAATTTTTCGTTTTTAAATTTGGAATTTGGAAATATCTTTTTATTTTCTCTAAGTAGGCATTTCAAAAAAACCTCTGTTAGTTTGCATGATATGATCATGCGAACTTTTGGAAATGAATTTGGAAAAATATTTTTGCTCAATTTAGAAATTAATAATGATACAACATCTTAACATCCATGGCACTCACCATAATCATTTGGAGCAGTCATAGCTTGCAAAATTTTGAAAGATCTACTGGGTATCGAGCTTCCAGTATATTTTTTTGGTTCCGGTACCACTTGTTCACTTGGATGCACATATGGCCTGGGAGTATCATCACCTAGTAACAGTCAGTGAGTTAGAAATAGCACAAAAACAAAATATATAAGTTTTTTTGGCATTCCTGTGATATTTATTTATTAATTCACGACAGCCTTTTGGTCCCAAGCCAACCTATTTGTCGTAACATATTTAAATATACAGTGACAAAAATAGAAAGTAATACACTTAATTTTGAGAATGCAGAAATAGAAAATAAACCTAAAACGAAATTTAATTACAAACTATACAATATGGGGCAACACTTGAAGATCTCCGCAGATATACATCGCCAGATCTACTCAGCACATGAGATAGACACGTGTAATTATATATGAGCACATACTCATATATAAATAAACATACACCCAAATACAAAAATACAGATATACACATCTATTTAGCAGTTGCTTAATTACCACATCATCAGACAGCCGCTCTTCATCTTCTTTGTCAACCATTTTACATCCACTCCTGAATGTAGGTCCTTCCCAATTACTTCCATCTTTCTCTATCTTGCACCAATGTAATCACCTGTTTGACTGCCACTGCTCCTATATCATCTACCCTTTTTTTTTGAGGTATTCCCATACTTCTTGTTGTCGTCCATGGGCTCCATTATAGAATTCACCGTGAATTTTCTACCTGTTGTCATTATATCGGGATACTGTCTCCAAGCCGTAGGTACAAACTGGTAGTATGCATGTATTATACAACTTTTTCTTTAAGTTCACAGGAATGGAGCCGCACCATAATTAATTTATCATATAGTGAAAGTTGAGAGCCAGAGTGAGAGAGATCATACGCTTTCAAATTCCGAGGTGTAAGATCGCACTCTGGCATAAGAATTACCCATTTAGAATTAGGGCAGAATACACGGTTTCCAGAGAAAAAAAGGGTAGTTCCAGAATCGAAGACAGACTCGGAAAGAAAGGCAGACAAATTTCCCACTTGACAGAGTGGTATCGTTTTGTAGTAACATGTATATTGTTTATCTTTGAACTACGTAGAGTCCGCTGACTGATACCAATACCAATCCTAGTTTTAAATTAACCTTAAATAATTTTGAAAACTCCACTACTACGACTGTTAGCTAGCACAGTTATCCTATTGTTGGTGCTATATTACAATGTTCCTTCACGTGATTTAAATTGACTGAATTTATGAAATGGAAAACAAATAGATTCAGTAAATATCAATTGTGTTTTTAGTGTATATGTTTTGCTCAGTCTTACAAACCTAAATTTCTAAATGTGATATAAGTTGCATACCTTCAATTTGAATAGGGATATTCCGAACTTGGGGTCCTTTAGACTGCTGTTGTTGGGGTCCACGGGGCACTGAAAAATAAGTAGTTCATATAAATAATCAACTAGTATATATTTTTTATTTTATGTTTATTTTTTTTTCCTACTACTCTCTCTTTTCATGAAGTTAGTAAAGATATTTTCAAACATCTTTGTACATATCTATTTCTTTTTCGGCAAAACTTCTATACGAGGATTATTAATATCTTGTTTTCTCTGTCACACTGAGGGAACGGGCTAGTATTGCAACGCTCAAAATATCTTGTATTATATGTTTATGGTTATCATAACACAGACGAATAACTTACCATAAGTGTCAGTGTTATGAGTTTCACGTAAAAAAGACGAAGCAGAGTTGCTCCTCCTCCTCCTCCTCTATCCTTTATCCTTCGTAAGAATGTGGTGACATTATGGTATTTGACAAATGGTTGCTATCCATTCTTCTCTCTCCTGGACGCGGTGTGCTGCCTCAGACAGAGAGTAACCGGTAGCGCACTTTATTTGGTCTGAACATCGGAGTTTCGATCTTCATCGAGTTCTTTTACCATCTACCTTGCCTTCAACCACCAACCTCTCCATGCCTTCCATTCGTCTGGTAATGTGTCCAAAGTACCTCAATATATTTTGGTTGATGATTGTGGTAAGTCTAGTATTGATGTCGAGTTCTGTCAATATTGACACATTTGTGCGATGTACTGTCTAGGGTATGCGCATCATTCTACAATATACTCAAATTTTAAAGGCCATTATATGTCGTGAGTCGGACTTTTTAATGGTCCAAGTTTCTGACGCATAGGTAGCGATAGGAACGATAAGCGTCCGTACTAGGCACAGTTTCGTGTTCCTGGTTATGTCCGTATCTTTTCAGACTTTAGTAAGTTATATTGTTGCTGATATGGCCATTGTAAGGCGTCGATGTATCTCTTCTTTGCATCCGCCATTGTTTGTGTTAACAGAACCTAAATAATTTAAACGTCTTTCCACATCAAACCCCGCTACGTTTCGTATTTTCGGCTGGGTATTTCTAATGTGATCGATAATTGAAAATAAGAGTTGCTCAATGAAATTTAAAAAAGGATGCCGATCGAAATTGTGAGATTTAAAAAAATTTGAGTATTGAATATCATCAAATATGTGTATTGAAAGCAGTAGCGTGGCTACAAAAGAAGCCGCGGCACCCCCAAATACCGCAGAAGAGCACCGAAACCTCGTGTTGATTTTTTTAGCTGAAATATTATAAAACAAGTACAAGCTGTATAGTATACACGTGTATAGCAATCTAAATTAGAAATTAAACTTTTTTTACTTCACTTCACACATTCAATAATTTCTATCCTTGTGCGATCGGTACTCACCGGACGGACCACAGACGTTCGGATACAATTAGCGTCTCTTAGCAAAGACAATAACGTCGACTTTGCTAAGTATCAAGACAATTACTCTACACACACACACACACACACACACACACACACACACTACACTAGGTACCTGACTGTACCATGCCAATGATCATAGTTGTCGAGGCATTAACTAAAAAAAAAAATACAATCGGTTAATGTTTAGCATGTAGGAGTGGCCAATGGTTATGCATAAGACGCAATTTTTGATCTTGACACCAGCAAAAAAAGTCACGCTACTGATTTAAAGGATTTAACAAATAAACCGATTTACGGAGATATGTAATACTCTTGGCGATTAAAGTGCTTCGTATGCGGTCGTTAAAAATTGATTTGAAAGCGTCAGAGATAAACTGATAAACTATGATTAAAATAAGGTAATGATAATGTCTTTATTATAGAACAACTTAAAACTATAGGAAGAACTAATTCGTTCAAAATTAAGGTTGACTTTAACAACGATACAATGAATTGTGCAGAATTTTGGCCAGATGAAATTATTCTAAGACGATTTAACATAAAAAGAAAGGCAACTCAAAGAAACAACAATGATGTTATTCTTAATCCGTCTTATTCTGATGATGGGAACAAATCTACGAATATTCCATAAAATTGTCTCCAATAAGACGACCATCTGGAGGTACATGTGCATCAAACGGCTATTGCAGTGTCTATTATCAAAATGTTAGAGGACTATGGACAAAACTGAATACCCTCTCTAAAAAACAGTAACAGCGAATATAATATACTGGCATTAACTGAAACCTCATTATGTGATAGTATAGAAGATAATGAACTAGGCATCTCACAGTACATAATATACCGCTGTGATAGATCAAGCTTAACAAGTTCATGTGAATGACTTGGAGGAGTTTTTATAGCGATTAATTGGAAAATTTCTTCAGTTTTAGTAAATCATCAATTTATAAACATTGAATTTATTTTTGTTAAACTTTTATTTAGAAAACAAAAGTGTCTTATGGGATGTGTTTATTTACCTCCAAACTCCCCATTATGTTTGTATGAAGACTATATGTAAATTGTATAGAATGTATTTTATATGAAACACATAGTACAGTTTGGTATATCTACGTGGTGATTTTAACCTACCAAATATTTATTGGGAAAATGATTAATATGGTTCAAGGCCGATTGGAAATATTACTAACAAAGTTGAATGTATTTCAGAAAGTTTGGCTTTTTTAAATCTCTTTCAATTAAATAATGTACCAAACCGTAATGGAGGTTTCTTAGATCTTATTTTTTCTAGTATAAATAACATTGACTTAAAACTTGCTGATCAATCTTTATTAAAATATGGTAGCTATCATCCAGCCTTGTCCTTTGATATGATTGGAAATGATATCTTTGACTCTCTTAGCTATAATTATTTCTATTTTGACTTTAAAAATACTAATTATATCCTTATTAATGAATATTTAGATTCGGTCGACTGGGATAGGATTATTGATGAGACAGATGTAAATAATAGCGTTGATAAATTTTATGAGGTGTTAGATTCCTTTACTAATCTATTTGTACCAAAAACTAGATCCAAAAACTTAAAATTTCCGAAATGGTATACTCCTCACTTAAAACATGTATTATTTCAAAAAAAGATTGCTTATGCAAAATACAAAATGACAGAATCTAAGAATGATTATGATTATTTTTCTAATTTGCGTCAAGAATTTGGGGATTGTTACAAAAAATGTCAGCAGATTCACCTAAATAATTTACAAACTGCTATGTATGATAAAAAAGATTTTTGGAATTATGTAAATAATAAAAAAAAATGTTTTGATTTGCCAAACACAATGAAATATGAGAATATAACTTCTGATAATTTTCAAAATATAGCAAATTTGTTAAGTAAATTTTTTAATTTAACCTATGTTACTAGTACCTAATACAGATTATCGAGCTGTAAACTCTGATAATAACCTTTGTGTTGAAATTTGTGATATTACTGTATTATATGTATTTGAATTTATATCTAAGATTGATCTAAAAGTAAGTTGTAGACCTGATAATACATCACCTTTGTTCATATTTAATTGTAGATTTATTCTGAGCTATATTTTACAAAAAAATATTTAGTTTGTCATTAAGCTCAGGTGTCTTTCCAGAGATATGGAAGAAAAGTTATATTACCCTAGTTCATGAAGCTGGTAACAGAGAAAATATTGAAAACTACCGAGCTATATCTAAAGTGTCAGTTTTCTCTAAATCTTTTGAAGGGATTGTCGCTGCAAAACTTGGTCCATTATTGAATCCTACTTTAATGCCCGACCAACATGGTTTTATTCCCGAAGGTTCTACTACTATCAATCTTTTAGTTTTACAAGAATTTTTGTTGGATGCTCTTGAAGGGCATGACCAGGTTGATATAATTTACACCGACTTTTCGAACGCATTCGATAGAGTTAATCATGCTGTAATAATCCACTAAACTATATATTGCTGGTATACATGGTTTTATTTGGCTGGATGGAGAGCTATTTTACAGATAGAACTCAAGTTGTAAAAAATAAACAAATTTTTGTCATCTACTTTTAATGTAACCTCTGGTGTTCCACAGGGTGGATATTTTTTATCTCCTCTGCTTTTTAATTGTTTTGTAAATGATATAAAAAATTGTTTTTATCATAGTCATATTCTTCTCTATGCTGATCTAAAAATGTATAGAACTGCATAAAAATTTTCAATGAATGTAGTTTATTACAGAATGATTTAAGTAGTTTATTGGATTGGTGTAACTTAAATGCTTTGAATTTTAATATAAATAAATGTACGGTAATGCGATTTTTTAGAAACAAACATCCGATTTCATTTAAATACCATATTGGACCGAATATTTTAGAGGTAATGACAACATTTAAGGATCTTGGGGTAATTTTTGATCCTAGAGTAAGCTTCAGGGACAACTTTTCTTATGTTTCTAATAGATCTATTAAACTTTTAGGTTTCATGAAACGTAGCCTCTCTGAATTTAATAATATTTATTGTCTCAAAAATATTTACTGTTCCCTTATTAGATCGGTTTTGGAATATGGTAAGGTTTGGTCTCCTCATTATAAATGCTACAAAGATCTATTTGAATTAATAAATATGATATCTTAAATAAATGCCAGCATGGGTTTCTTCCTAATAAATCTACAGAAAGTGCTTTTATTTTATTATTTAATTATATCTACGCTGTTTTGGATCGAAAAAGGTATGTGGGTGCACTCTCTTTTTACTTAACTAAGGCTTTTGACTCTATTGACATTGAAATTATACTGCATAAATTAGCAGCCCTTGGTTTTCGGGTTCATTTCTTGAACTGTATTTTTCAGTATACCTATCTAAGTTTCCATTTATTTGTCTGCATATGTCTCCACCACCATACTATATACTATTAGTACAATAATCTACCACCACCTTAAAATAAATTGCTTTTACCACTTTCATCCAACATTTTGAAAACCTTTGAAGGAATGTGACCCCCTCTGTATCTCGGGTTTTCTTCATCGTGGAAGTTCATCTCTAAATTAAGACAAAATCAATATAAATATATGCAAATTTAAAACAAATGACGGTATTATATTTTGATTTGATACAGAGCAGCAACAAGCCGCATATACGTATTTCGATCTCCTCAGTACGGTATAGTTACTACTCCATATCAAACCAAAATATTTTCCCGTCGTAGATTATAGTTATTAAAAATAACTATTTACGGACGTAACTACGCCATCTAACAACAAAAAGAGAAATCAATCAATGATTTTTTCAGTAACTATACCGTACTGAGGAGATCTAAAGAGATCGAAATACGTATATGCGGCTTGTTGCTGGTCTGTATCAAATCAAAATATAATACCGTCATTTGTTTTGTTTATTTACTTCATTTGGAGTACCAGAAATCGAATTCACTACGAATATAGGCCATGATGAACGGCATTTGGAGTGCAAGTTTTAGACTCCCTTGCCGATGCATTCATCAAGCTGTTTGCTTCGCAAGTCTTAGAGAGCACGGCGGCCTACATTTGAATTCGATTTCGCCAGGTAGAAATCGTATGATTTCTCTTTTTATATGCAAATTTCTTTAACCAAGCAAATAAGTATACCCATTTAATGCCTTTATTGCGGCATATGACAACATCGTAAGACTAAGTCTGTAAAATCCTATAAATGAGCTAGAAATTAAAAAAATCTATATACATGATAAAAATGTCGACATAATAGTTGATATCTGCTGTAAAAAATCAGAACGGCGTGTTAACTAAAACAGGTGTTAACAGAACTTAAAAAAATGACGCGCTGATATTTCAGCTCTTCAACATAGCTCTCTAAACAACAGGGGAATCTTGGTTTAAGCATACCATGTTCATCATAGTTCAATAATAGTCAGCGCATGAACCATGCGATAAACTTAATAGTGCCAGCAGAAAAGATGGAGGAACTTACAAATCAAAATAAAACTAAGCTTAAGCCAATTATGACATAGACAAGAAAACCCCAGACAAGAAAGAGTTGGGAATGATAATTCAGATTTCATTGCTAATGCAAAAATTTCGAAGCTTTGAAACAATTCATCAATCTGGGCACACAGATCAATTGTAAAAATATATCAGAAAAAACGCTTATCTTAAAAACAAGAGATTTTATAGGACGCTGCTAATTTTAATTCTTACAAATAGATCGGAGAATGAACCTCAACAAAATCCGATGAATTCACTGATGAGTGGTGGCAACTTTAATCTATAGGATATATAACGGGTCCGAACGAAGTCCGTAGCGACGTCCGAACTTTTGGTAACTTTAGCTACAGCTGTCAAATCAAATTGGTCGTTGTCTATTTAGCCTACTTTTCTAAATCCCCATGGCGGGATATAGTGTACAAAAACACGTGTAAATGATAAAATTGTTTTATCAAAATTGGTGTTCCGTTTGGGCAACGTTCCTCGCGCTACGTATATTTTACAGCCGCCATAATCGTTCTATCGAGTGAAGACCAAGACAAGAAGCACTACGAAGCGGAAGACGCCCATAAACCAGATAGACTGACGACCTGAAGCGCGTCAGCAGTAGAGAAGGGGATAAATTTGAGTCTACTAGTTCAGTAAACAATCTAACAATACCTGTACGTCAACGAAATGCAAGATTTACCGAAAACAACACCGCTGTCCTTAAGATTGTACAAGAGAATCCGAGGCAGTCGATTTCACATCGCTCACAAGAACTCGGCCTTGTATAGACCACGTATTAGTGAGTTTTGCGTCGTTTTTCGCGTTTGTAAACGACCATAGACAACGACGTGTGTCCGCTAAATAGACTCTGGAGCAGTTGGAAACTGACCCCACTTTTCGCCGAAAAAAATCATCGTTAGCGATGAGTATTTCCCATTTCATCCGATTTTTGGATAAATGACTATGTTAAAAAAACAGAACTTTCTAATTTGGGACAATAAAAATCGAGATAAGATTCAGAAGCGTCCGATGCATGTCCAATTTTGGCCTGAATTCGATGATATGGACACTAACGACATGTGATTTAAATAAAACAGCGTTATGGTTGGGTCATGGCCATTTTACGTGGATATAATGTAAACTCTAAACCACCGAGATCATGCGGTTTGATCCCGTTAGACTTTTTTTCTTGAGGTTTTCTGAGGACTTTTTTAAGTCGCAGTTATGTTATATCTTAACGCTTAACTAAAGACCCTATAAGGGCTAGTGTTGTTAGAAGTATCAAACTTCGCACCATGTTGCCTTTTGTTTTAGTTCTATATTTGTAGACTGCATTTTAATCGTGATATTTGTTTTGTAATTTGTACAGGGAGGTTTTAGCATATTTAAAACGCCACGCTTGCCGAGAGGGTTGGCGAGTGATTCTATACAATCCCTAAAATCAGGGGATTGCTACTTCCGCCATCCACGCCGTACCGAAGGTATTCTTCGTAGTGTCTGCCGTTGTGGATTTCATCCGTGACCCTGGATAAGGGACCCTAAGCAGGTAATAGTTTCCCGGGTCAGGAAACCCCTGAAATCTACGGAGGACAGGGATTGATTCATTTTACCTGATAGGACTATCCAAAGGAGTTCCTATCCGCTACCCGCGGTGTACGACGTGAGATTCGCAGATGACATAGTTTTAATAGCCGATAATATCCAAGAACTAAATGATATGTTACAACAATTAAATGCAGTTTCAGGAGCGGTAGGCTTAAAAATGAACTACAGCAAAACAAAAATACTACGCCGAGATCAGACAAATATAACAATACAAAATAATACCATAGAAAATGTTGAACATTGTGTATATCTAGGTCATGTTATCAAACTAGGAAAACCAAATCAAGATGCTGAAATTAAAAAAAGAACACAACTGCCATTGGGCGCTTTGGGCAAACTAGCACATATCTTGAAAAATACCTCCATTCCTATAAACTTAAAGAAAAAGGTGTATAACATATGCATACTACCAGCTTGTACCTGCGGCTTGGAGACAGTAGCCCTTACCAAAAAATCTGCTAAAAAATTAGAAACAACGCAAAGTGCAATGGAAGGAATCATGCTTGGAATATTAGTAAGAGACAAGATTAGAAACACCGAGATAAGACGTAGAACAAAGATTAGGGATATTGTGGAAGAAATTACAAAAATGAAATGGCGCTGGGTAGGTCACGTAGCCCGATATAATGACAACAGGTGGACACGGAGACTTCTAGAATTTAGACCAAGAACGACAACAAGAAGCATGGGAAGACCTCAAAAAAGATGGGTAGATGACATAAGAGCAGTGGCAGGCAAACAGTGGCTTAGATTGGCGCAAGATAGAGAAAGATGGAAGCAATTGGGAGAGACCTACATTCAGGAGTGGATGGAAAATGGTTGACAAAGAAGAAGAGAAGAATTTGTGCAGTCTTTTTATTGCTCTCTTTTAAAAAGTATTCAAACTTGTTCTCTTATTAAAAATTACTCTTCTCCAATAATAAAAAATTCATAATTTTGAATATCATAAGTAACTAGAAATCTAATTTTTTGTGTAAAATGAGGGAAACATTTTTTAAGAAACGTGTAAGTGGTATGAACTTTTCTTCTCCATTCTATATTCCCGAGATATGGCCTACAGCCTTTCTTAGTTGACCATCTGATACACATTGAAATAAGAATAGACAGAAACTAAAGAATTAAATGATAAATCTGTGGATAAATTTTATTAGGTGTTGCTTTTACCTTGTTTGAAAGTATTTGCAATACTTTGTTCCCCGTCGTTCAGTTTCATTCGTCTCATCTGATCAACAGGCTGTTGGAAGTTCTGTGTATACTTGGGCGAGTGTTCAGTGATGGGTACGTTATCATATTCGTCTTCACCGTCTGTGTTGGTGAATTTTTGGATAATTTTGAACGAATTAGATTGCACGGGGTTGCTTCCCCAACTCTGCTGTCTATTTAAAACCCTGTAAAAACAAAATCTTAAAAAGAAGAAGAATAGACACAAAATCTATTTTTTCTAAATTAACAATTAAGTAAAAATCAAAGAAAACATACGGGCGAAAATAAGAAGTTTGTTCTTTTACCTTTCATTTCCAGCCCTCGTTCCTTCAACTTGTACTGGCACAACCCTTGCCCCTCCTTGATTGTTTGGGACTTGTTGCCTTTGCGGAGCTGCACCAGGATGCTGCAACACCAACGGTTGAGTGACGTAAACCACGTTAGGTCTATTTTCCAATTCTGTCTGATCTTGGTATGGTGCTTGTGGTTTGGTACGGATATCTATACGAATTCCTATTGGCTGAAATAGGACAAGGATTTTGGTACATTAAAATATTTAAACTATTTATAAAGAAACATATTTTTATATAGAGGAGGGAAGAGCTGTAAGTGATCTTCCTGTAAGGGAAGACATTAAGAGTAGCTAAAAAGTATATAAAAATGTACCTGTTGATGTTGAGTCGCATCTGGCCTGCTAGCATATGCTTGTTGGAACTGCTGTTGATTATATTTGGGTTGTTCGTACTGTTGCTGTTGAAAGGAAGGTTGAGGATTTCCCTGAGCTTGGGGCTGTGGCCACCTCTGTTGTTGTTGTTGCGAAGCAGGAGGCGAAATTTTCTGCAAAGTAAACTTTAAAATATATAATAACGTAATAAATATTAACTTACCCTTGCTTCGTCTACATTATTAGGGATCTGGTTTTCTCTCTTTGCCCAGGTAGGTACCTCTTCTTGGGGCTTTTTCGTTTGCCAAGGTCTGGGAGCCTCTCGAAGAGGAGGTGTCTGTATGCCTGGGGAGTCCAGATTTCTTTCAGGGGGCGAGGGAGGCGATACTATACGTTTTTGTTGCTGTTGATTTATGGGAGGAATATACAAAGATCCCAAATGTGCAGTGCTTGTTTTCACTTCTTGTTGTCCGTTATTCTGGGGTGCTGATGGTTGCCTTTCTATTACCGGTGGTTGATATCTTGGTTGCTCTTTCACAGGCTCCGGATAGCTAGGTCTAGAATATTGCTCTCTGGGGGGAGTAGTTTGCTGAACCGGAGGTTGATACTGCTGTTGTTGGTATTGTGGTTGAGCCTGTGGTTGGTACTGCTGTTGTTGCTGTGGTAGCGAAGGTTTGTATGTTTGTTGTGGTACAGGTGAGATTGGCGTCCCTCCAGACTGAATTCTACAATTTTAATGAACCATAATTTAAAAAAAAAATTTGGATTATTTCCGAAAACTTACCGCTGTTGTGGAGGTTGAAATTGTTGCTGGCTTTGGACCGGTGGAGTTCTAGGCTCTGGAGCACTCTTTCCACTCTCCTCAAATATTTGATCAACCAGGCTTTTCCTTGGTTGCGGTCCTCCAGTTTTTCTCAACATCGCCATTGGGTTATCTGGGATAATTTTAGTCATATCAGGTCTTTCTAGAACCTGATTATCAGATGTCTGTACTTTTTGAGTAGGTAATGGACAGCTAGGTGGAGGAGGTGGAGGAGGAATTCCTTGCTTAGGCGGAGGTGGTGGGGGAGGTGCTCCACCGCGCATGGGCGCTGGTGGTGGAGGACCTGAAGGAAATACTTGCACCTGCGGTTGAGGACGCATCGCTGCCAAGGCGGATGGCGGAAGAGGGCCTGTGATTGGGGGATGAGGGGCAGGGTTGTGAGGTATGTCACCAACTCCACCCAAATTAGCGTTTCTCTCGATTCTTCGTTGAAGTCGAGGCGAACGAGCTTCGGAGAGGTCTATTCCTCCGGGGGTATAGGTGAAGGGTTTCTTGTCTTTGGTCATCATGGCGTTCTGAACGCATGCTGGAGGATCCATTTTTTTCTGTATTGGCTAAAACAATAATAAAAATTCGCTCTAAAACAAGATATCGTAAAAAATACAAGTATGTATACAGGTGTGCAACAAATGACGTTGAAACAGAAACAGCAGAAATAACCACAAACGAAGAAGTTAAGAGGGAGTCCAAAAAAGTTGCAGATAAAGAAATATTGTATTGAATTTTTAATAAAAAATAAGTTTTAACTGGGAGTTCATGACTGCTGAATTCGGCATAATATCGAGAAAAATTACAATATACCTGCTTTTCCAAGTGACGAATTGAAAGTACAGTAGACTTCCTCTTAACCGGTCCCGCATTAACCGGCCGTCTTATTAACCGTCCACTCCCCCTTCCTCTTGTTTTTCGTACGATGCTTGCCCCCGGTTGTCAATTCTGTTTTTGCTTTCGAAGAGGATTGAATTCGTCTTGTGCGAAAATGAGTGAGAAGCGTAAAGGTGTGGTTTTGACGATGGAAAAACATCGATGTGTGCTTAAACGGATCGAGAAAGGTGAATCGGTAAAGAAAATTTGTTCAGAGTTGAATGTGGAGAAAAGTACAGTGAATGACTGGTGAAGGGATCGGAGTTCAATCGAGGATGATTTTTGCGCCCAAAGATGCACTAAAAAAAAACGAAATTCGAGATAGTAGATGAAGCTCTTTGGTTGTGGTTCCTTCAAGAACGGCGAAGGGGCACACCTATTAGGGGCCCGATCCTAAGCGAAAAGGCTTTATGTATATACAGCAAAATTAAAGACGGAGGCGAATTTATTGCAAGTGAAGGTTGGCTGACTCGCTGGAAGGGACGTCACGGAGTTAACTATGCACACGTTAGTGGAGCAAAAATGACGGCAGACGCTTCAGGTATAACTCATTTTACCACCAAGTTTATAGAAATTATAAAAATGAAAAAATTACACTAGCAACACATAAAGAGCCCTATGAAAATAAAGAGACTAATGATGATGATGTTGACGAAGAGGAAAAGGTCGGTCACACCGAAGCGAGGGCTGTAATGGAGGTGGCATTGAAGTATATTGAACAACAACCTGAGTAATTTTTAATAGACGTCTTGGTTTTTAAAAAATGGAGAGATATAGCTTTTAAAAATTTACTTTACAATGTCAAGAAACAGAAGAAAGTTACTGATTCTTTATTATTATAATATAATATCTTTATTAATATACACCTTCCACTACATATGTTTGATATATGTACGTGTGTGTACTTGATTTTTCTCATGAAAATGCCTGCACATCGGATTAAGCAGCCATTTGGTCAACCGGCCAGGCTCTGGTCCCGAGGTGGCCGGTTAAGAGTGAGTCTACTGTAGTAGATCAAGTCTGAGGGAAGATGATCATAGTGGAGGATTTTAACGCCCGAATAGGCAATCAAGTAATACCCGGAATTAAGCAAAAGCATAACAAGAATGTTAAAAACAAAAATGGAGAACGGATGATAAACTTCTGTACGATTAACGAACTTAGAATAAACAACACATTTTTTTACCATAAAGACCTATCCATATATACATTCAATAACACCCGTGGACAAAGATCTATGAAAGGTTATCTTACAACCAACAGAGATATACCTACATTCATCGATAATAATTGATATAAGGTCCCTAAACTTAGCAGATATAAGTAGCGACCATAACCTAGTATTAGGAAAAATAAGAATTATCATGTAATCCAGTGAAATAAATACAAATAAGAATACTTTATGAATAATCTAAACATTGTGGTCTTCCGTCTGCTATCTTCCCTTCTTTGTTGATTTGTTTCATCAACGTTGTTTTTATGTATCTAATAATTTTTTTTCACTGTACATTATAAGTAAATTCTAGCTGTGTTTTGTTACTAATCATATGTACTTACTTGATTTTTAAGCCTCACTGGTGGAATGTGTCCAACAATGAACGGTTGAGGAGACGTTCCAAATCCCTGACCTGTACCAACAAACTGTGAAGGCTGCCTGAAACAATTATTATCCTGATATTAGTATTGTTTAGTCGTCTTAAATTTGTATTATTTTATCTGTACCGTCAAACAGTGTAGCAACAGACCAAATTTTGTATACAGGGAATGCACAATAAAATGCATCTTCAATATTTCAAATGGGACACCCTGATGTCGCTATTGCATCCATATCGAAGCCCTTTTTGTGTTGCTTCTACTACGACAGGAAAGATTGTTTTCACGTTCAGAGCCGTAAATAGCCGCTCCGTCGATTCTTTTTAGGATGAAATACGTATAAGCGGATATACAAACGCACTGTACGTGAAAATCAAATAATAACTGTCTTTCCTTTTATCTCGGTATACTTTTCATGAGTACTAGAAACCAATTCGCTAAGGATTTTTGCTTAGTTGAGGAGATATGTTGTGGAATGTAATTTTATATTCCCCATGTCTCTAATTACATCTTTATTAATGTCTGTTTTGCCTTGCAATTCTTAGAAGACACAGATTAAAGCAGAAATCTGAATTTGGTTTCGACAATTAGTTTTCGGAAAAATTATTCGTTTAAATGGATATTTTCTTTGTATGTGTACCTATTTGTTGTCGACCTATCTAACCGTGGTTTATGTCTTGTTTGTTATAATGAAGGGGCTTTGATGAACCCCTAAGCATGAAAAGTGTCCTCCTGTACAATCTTGAATGAATGAACACTAATATTGTATGTAATTGCGTAACTAAAGGTTCTACACCAAGGCTAGAACACAAAAAAAGTACTTGGTCTGGGCATGCCCAGTCAATTTATATCTGGGAGAAACTTCAAGACCACTAAGTGGTAAAAACGTCAATATTACTAAGCAATTTATCGTAATTTTTTTTCTTTTGTTTATGTTTTTGTTGTTACGAGGAATTATGTTATTTTTAATACTTCGTAGAACAAGCACAATACACAGTTAGTGTAGGGTAGTTAATATACTAATTCTATAACTACAGGGTAACATTCCCTGGTGCTTAATATATGCTGATGATGTAGTATTAGTGGAAAATAGTAAAATCGACTTCGAACAAAAACTGGAACAGTAGATATAGGTTCTTGATAAAAAAGGTTTTAAACTTAGTAGGAAAAAACATAATATTTGCAACGTCCATTTAAAGATGGAGTTAATACAAATAAAACGGATGGTGAGAATATTGTGAAAAGTAAGGGTTTAAAGTAGTTATAATCGGTATTACAGAGTGATGGGGAAATAGATGCAGATGCATGCAGTAAAATAAGAGTTGGATAGGTAAATGAAGTGGAAGAAAGACAGTGATGTGTTGTGTGACATAAAAACTCCAATAAAACAGAAGGGAAAATTCTATAAAACAGGCATAAGACCAGCTATGACGTATGGAACTGAATATTGGACAGTTAAAAAGAAAGGAGTAACGAATGCATGTGGCGGAAATGAGAATTTTTAGATAAATACATTAAGTGACAAAAAAAGGATAAAATTTACAATAAGTAGGTATATTAGGAGAAGTAAAGAAGTGGCAATTTTATGCCAAAATGAGAGGGCATAAGTTAGGATGGTTTAGTCATGTTCAATGTCGAGATGTTATGGATCCAATACGAAGATTTGCTGGTCTGCAGATTCCTGGGAGGAGTAGGTGAGTAAAAGCAAAGAAGACCTGGGGGCAACCGCTTAGGCAGGACATGTCGATAAAGTAATTAATATGGGTTTGACCAAAAAATAGGAACTTATGGAGAAATATAATTAGGGAAGGTGAACCAGCATAGCAATAAAGGCACATATAATGATGATGCTGATGATGACTTTAGTGAGACTTCGTTTTAACTTTTGTTATGACTAAATGTAAAGGGGGCACTTGCACATATCTGGATGTTGTCCATGCTATTTTCTGTTAAGAATTAATTGAAAATGGATGAATATACCATAGAATACAAATAAAAACTATATAGTAGTAGTATAGTATCTGTGTGTGGTGTATATAATGATTAGAAACGTTAAAAAGATAAAAAGAAGAGTGAAGTAAACATTATAAACATTAGTCAAAATGTAGGGTTATTCTACCTGACAGTTTAGAGAAAGTTTCGGGTCTGTTAAAGGCTAAAGCTCAATCTTTTTCAACGATTATTCGCGTCTATTTATCAACGTAAAACGAAGCAGATTCTGCAAAAACCTTTACAATACTATTCTATTATTATGGAAAATTCTTTATTCTTACTATTTAAAATCTGATAAACTCACATCACCATATTGAAACTTTTGCACTCACAGAAACAAAACATTTGTTTTATTAAAAAGAAACAAAGTACGAAACATTCTCGAACGAAAGAATAACCTATTTTAAAAATCTAAATTATACATGACCAGTTTACATAACACCTAATCCATTCAACACTGTCACTTTTAAAATATATTAATGTTTACAAGAAACTCACGAAATTTTCGTAGATATGAATGTTACACTATTTGAAAGCATGAAATAGTTTGATAAATGAGTTTAGAATAAAATTTACAGGGTGTTTCCAAAGTAATGACCAATAGCTTCCAATTTATTGTAAGATTTAAAAGTACTTGTAAACAAGTATGATAACTGATACATTTTGTCGTAATCTATATATGATATATGAAGCGGTGGATCAAAGTTTGACGATGAGGGCGATCTGCTCGCTGTAACAAAATTTGTGTTGTGTTTGAGGGCACTCTGGAGGAGCGTCAATATAAGAAATGGATAAGAATCAAAGATACTTTGGTGTACCACAACCTGTACCTTGGTACACCAATGAACTGACGTTCGGAATGTCAAAGTGAGACATGAAAGGAACAAAAAAAAAAACAAAGTTTGAAGGCTAGGTAACAGGCAATCCTGGAGAATGACCTCTTAATACCCAGAGGGAAAATTGGACATATTTTCATGATTTACAGAAACCATAATATGTGAATAGTAAGAAAAAGAGAATGAAGAGAATTAGATGACAGTAAGCAGAAGTAATGAAAGTTGACGAGTGTAAGATACTCTCAATCCATTAATCACCAACAGAACTCCATTACTCTTTATTAAATTGGAGAACTTTATTAAGTTTTATTTAATATTTCTTTACACTTAAAAAGAAAACTCTTACAACGGCCAACGTGCTTCTTTGTATCTCAGTTCCCTTTGACAACGAGCGAAGTTTTAGATTCCACTCAAACCAAGTGATTTATATTTTTTCAATTCTATATAAAGATTATAAAATTATTTAGTTTTCAGTCATCTTTAATTAATAACGCTGGATTTGCCACTGAATATATGAGGGGTTAAAAGTTTAAAATCTAAGTTAAAACTTTATTATTAACCAAATACTATGAATTATTTTGCATATACACTGAAACCTACTAACTTTTTATAAATCTCTTTATTTTTCTTCTTCCTCTCCTTTTATATTTGGAAAAACTGAATATTGGCAAACCCTGGCGTTAAGTAGCTTCCATTTCTATGTTTAAGTCTAGTACTAACGTAGAGGCTCTGATAGTGTTATTTTAGAGTTACAGCGGTGAGTGTGCTATTTTTTACTTTTAATCCCCTATTATATAGCAATAACGACAAAACTAATCACAAGAACTTATAGTCTTAAACATGGATTGCCTCAAAAATGGCGTCAGCCTAAACTCTAAACAGAAGGTGCCAGTCCACCCTCCTTAGTTTTTAAAGCAAAATGTTTTTAAGTCATAATGCATATAATAGTTATTTATTGTACAAGAAGATAAAATTGTACTTTATCTTCGAGAGCGTTTTTTAGCGTCGAAACGCTAATTATGCTCGAGAAGATAATGCGATTTTATCGTCGTGTGCAATACAACATTTTTTTCTATAGCAAGATGTCAAGTTCAGGTGAAAAATATAATTTCAAAGAAAATTGTAATTTTTAGCACAAAATCGCAATTGTGTTGCTCCGTTGCTAGGGATATGAATTACTCTGTTAACAAATGTCAAACAAATGTTATGTTTTGGTTTTTGCGGAGAATATTGTTGCGTTTTGTGTACAAAGTGAATAAATACGAAATGGGCGGAAAAGACTTGACACAAGAAAAGGAAAACCTGCCATCAGATGTAGAAAATGCAGCGTTGGAAGCAGAAAGTTTATTGTTGCCACACAAATCTAGGATGATGTATGAGAAGAAATACCAGTCTTTTAAAAAGTGGAAAAGCATTAAAAATATCAATGGCGTGAGTAAAAAAATACTTGTATACTGGCGTATTTTTCTGAAAAGTCGAAGGAAGCGATGCCATCGTCATTATGGTCGTATTATTCGATGCTGAAGCGTAAGTTATTGGTAAATGAAAATTGTGACATTTCTAAATTCAGCAAGTTAACCACCTTACTAAAAAGCCTGAGTGCAGGATACAAAGCTAAAAAGTCCAAAATCCTGGAGTCAGATGACATTATTAAATTTCTGACAGAAGCTCCTGATGACGTCTATTTGTTGATGAAGGTTATTGCTATTTTTGGTGTGCATTGAGCGACTAGGTCCGATGAATTGTTCAAAATAGAAGTGTTTAACGTGGACGACAGCAAATCGGTGGTAATCGTTTCATTATCTGATACTAAAACCAAGCAGGAAAGGTCGTTTTGTATTCTTGACAAGAAAAGTGGACTGAGTTTCTTCGAAATTGTGAGAAAGTATATTGCCTTGCGTATATTGCCTCACAGTAAGTTTTTTGTAAATTACCGACAGCAAAAGTGCACTACTCAACCGGTGGGGATTAACACTATATATAATATCCCCAAGAAGATTGAAGATTTTTTGGAACTTGCAAATTCAGAAATGTACAAGGGGCATTGTTTCCGTCGTTCTTTAGCTACTATGTTCGCAAATTCTGGAGCTGATCTAGTAAAAGTTAAACGTTTAGGTGGATGAAAATCGTAATCTGTTGCAGAATCTTACATTGAAGAGTCAATAAGCAATAAGATTGCTGTATCCAAGTGTATACTTGGCGGACCAGAAAATCAATCCAGTACCTCGAATCA